TGCATCTCTCCAGCACTGGCTAGGCAGGTTTATTCCCTGCTCCTCATCCTGGAATTGTTGTGAGGGTGCCAAGCCTCATAGATCCATGACTCTGAGCAAGGCAGGGTGTAAAGGTCATAGTTGAGACCATTAATAACAAGGTGCAAACGGCTGGTTTATATGTAATGTGAAGCTTTTTACTTATTTCATTTTTGCACTTTGGGGGCTCTGTTTGCTTATGGAGCGCTTGGTGTCTGGTACCTATTTAGCCTGAGAGCAGGCAATTGGGTTCCTTCAGGCCTTCAGAGGAATGCAGAAAATTGTTCTCTGGTGTTGTAATTCTGCTGGGATAACTGGAGCTTATTTGTCTCACTGCTTATTAAATGCATACTTGTCTAGAGGTCCTCTTTTTTTTTTTTTTTTCTTTTTTTCCTGGGAAACGTTGGGTGAATCCCAAGGACCACAAGTGAGAGGAAGATTCCAGGAGGAGGGGGAGAGGGAAGTGCCTGCACCTCTCCACAAGCTGCATCATCCACTCCAGTGCCAGCAGAATGGAGAGGTTAAATATGAGAGCAGACTCCCTTAGGGAAAGGAGATGTATGTATGGGGCTCGGCCAGACATAAATTACTGTTGCCCTTCCCCCTGCTCAGAGGGAGACAGTGAGGGGAGCAGCACCTCCCAAGCACTGATGTTTGGGGTGTGTGTGTGGGAGCCAGTGAGGCTGCGCTGAGGTGTCAGAATGGGCCCAGCTGTGCAGGCCAGGAGCACGTGTGAGCTGTGCTGTGCTCTGGCACAGGGCACCGTGGGGTTCATGGAATCATGGACTAGCTGAAGGCACCTGCAAAGGTCAAGTCCAGCTGCTGGCCGTGCTCAGGACAGCCCTGTGATCCCCCTGTGCCTGAAGAGCACTGTGCAAAGGCTCCTGGAGCTCTGGCAGCCGAGGGGCCATGACCATTCCCTGGCAAGCCAGTTCAGTGCCCGACCACCCTCTGGGGAAAGAACCTTTTCCTGATAGCCCGTCTGAACCTCTTCTCCACCAGATTCTGAGCAGTGCCCAGCTTGCCCTGTTTTGCTGTTAAGAGGGACAGACTTCTCTTGTCTGCATTTCATTAGGATGGCTGCAGAGGTGATGTATGAGCTGTTGTCACCTGCTTTTGGGAAAAATATCTACAGATCAGTCAGGATGACAGTAGCAATCACAGTGGGCTTCTGTGCTCAGTGTCCTGTGCTCCGAATTCACCCATCTTACAGTAAAGGTGGATAAAGAGTAAAGGCAGCTTCGTTTCCAGCTCTGTCTCCTGGCTGCCTCCTCCCTGTCTGGAGCCTCCTTGGCAGGGTGTGCTCTGCACGCCCCAGCCCTTACTGGAGGGACAAGGCCGTGATCAGGAATGCTGCTCATGTGCTTGGAATTTTCCTCATTTCCAGCCTCGACTGCTGTTTTGTGCTCTTTGGTGGGATCTTCAGTGAGTCTGGTCATTGGGGAGAGCGAGATAACACGCCCTTGCTGACGGCATCACTGAGGGTGCATCCACCACGATGAGCGTGTTCCTCCACTGGGATCTTCCTCCTTTGGTTCTTTCTGGCCAGCAGCATTCTCCTTTTACTCTGGATGCTTTGGGTTGTGCAATCACGGTGCGGCCTCATCGGCCGGACCCTTCTCTTAACAGCCTCTTGATTTCTTTGCTAATTTGGCTGTGGGCTTTCATCAGTTATAAAACAGTGACACAGTATGTGACTATTGCATTCTCCTGCCTTGACTCACTGGCTGTGATTGCAGAGCAGTGACCCCCCTGCTGCTAGCTGGAGCAGCCCTCTGTGACTCTGCTTCAGGAATATGGGATGTGAAAGCTTGCACAGACCTTGACAGGCTGTGTGAATGTTAGGCCAAATGCCACAGTAAATCTGCCCCGGAGGGCTGGGTCTGTTACGGCAGGTTTGTAATCCCCCGTGGATTACACTGGTCACAGGTACCTGAGCAAGCCTTCTGTGCCTTTAGGGACTCAGTGGAGAACAGAAAAGGCCTGTGGGGAGATAAAGGGGTGTTGGGATTGGGATGTAGCTTGGCAATGAGGTCACCTGCATTGCTGAGCTCTAGAATTTACGGATCTTGCCGTTACCTCCATCCCAAAAAATGGTGGTGTCACCTGGGCTAAGGCCTGTTCTCACCCACATGGAGAAAATCAGAATCATAGAGTCTCCTGGACTATGGAAGAGACCCAGAAGGAACATTTGGATGTCAAGTCCAATTCCTGGCCCTGCACATGATTCCATGTTTCCAATGCCTTCTGCCTCCTCCCGTGTGTCCTGTCCAGCTGCTTCAGAGAAGGTAATATATTCAGAAGCTCATAAGGAATTAATTCTGCACCTTGTCCTTCAGTGCAGCCGTGCTTTTGACTGAAAGATAATTAGAAGATGAACTTGCCTGAAAGGCTCCCTCCACATTTTAGGCAGATTACTTCAGAGGGGTTTGTGAGAGGGGCTGAGTGTTCCCTGATGAGACTGTAGCCTTCAGAGAGATGGAAAGCAGTTCCTCGCCAAAGGTGAGTGTGCTCAGGGGGTCTTCTGTGGGGCTCATCTGCAGCAGGGCACTGACCAGTCTGAGTTTCCTTCAGCCCACAGTGGGACCTTCTCTTGTACAAGCACTGGGAGTTTGCTCTGGCTGACTGGTGTATTTCTGTTCCAGTTCTGTGGTTTTCTGCTAATTGCTTGTTAATAAATGAGTGTAGCCTTGCATAGTCCTTAGCAGAAGAAACTGTCACTTCTTCTGTCAGGTGTACTGGAGCTCAGTGGGCTGTGCCATGACTGCTCCAGGTACTTCTGTAGCACTTGCACTTGAGCCAAGTATTTTTACTCCTCTTATTTACTGCTGTGACAGAGGAATGCAGCTGCACAGGTGGACCTGGCAGGACTAGGGAGGTTTCCTGTCTTGGCTGTGGTTACTCTACAGAGCACTGGAGGCATCCAATTTCAGCATCACCGTGATGAAGCCAGAAAGAGGGGAAGCCAATAAACCAAAGGCAACCTGTCCTCAGGAGTTTCCCTCTTTGTTTTAAAATATGAACCTCTGCATTCAAGAGGGGGTTATATTTAGGCAGCAGCCATTGATTAAGGTGTCATTCATCAAGCTGGCCCCCAGATCTCCAACAGACACCCCCCGGGGTCCTCTGCAGAAGAAGAAGTGTTTGTTGACGGCTGACCCCGGGTCCCCAGGCACTGGGTCCCTCCCAGCCCAGGGAGTGTGTCCTGCTTTGGGAGGGAGGCTTGGATTGATGGCTGAGGGGCAGCATTTTTTTCAAGTCTGTCGTAAATTGAGAGGAGGTGGAGCAGTAATGAAGATCAATGAGAGACTCTTCCCGGTTGATGAGCCTGTGCTGACGGATGCTGCACTGGCTCGGGATGCCTTGGGCCTGCCTCAGACCTCCTGCTCACCTGCCAGCATTCCTCAGTACAGCCAGGATGGGAAAATTGTCTCCCTGAAATTCGGGGGCTCTTGGAAGGGCCTGGGGGGAGACCAGAAGTGTCCTGGGTGAACACCAGCTCCAGTGCAAGAGCAGGGAAGGTGCTGCACAACCCTCTTGTGCTGTCAGGGAATTGGTTTAATTCTGTAAAAAGCAGTTTAGGCAGTGGGAAGGTGGGATTCCTGTAATTCTCTCAAGATCTCCAATAAAATGTCACCTTTTGGCTTGGCTGTGGCTTTGCAGCAGCTCTGCTGAAGGTCCTTTTTCTGCATTAGCACTCTCAGGGGTTTGGCGTGGAGGAAGGTGCTTAATTCAGCCCATGGCAGGCTCTTTTAATTCTTTGAGCAGCTCCCCCATCAAAACTGGTTTTAAAGTGGATTTCTCTCTCCACTTAAACTATTATTTCCTAGGGCCATTGAGTAAGATCCCTGTTCAGAAATGCTTTTGGTGGAGTAGCTGGTGGGTGGCTTAGGACCAGAATAATCTTCTTTGCCTTAATCCCATCCTGTTCCTTTGACCTTCCTTCAGACTTTGCTTTGTAGCCTGCTCAGCTCCCTTGCCCACACTTCTCACTGCTTCCAGAGAAAGCCCCAGCTCCTCAGAGACCTCTGACGTGGCCTCTGGCTGCCATAAAGCAGACCCCAGCAAAAAGCAGGTGAATGGCCCTGTTGACTTGGCCTCTCTTATTGTTACAAGTTTGGGACTTCCATGAAAACTTCCTCTGTGTGGAACACCCTTGCCCATCGGCACAATGCTGAGCAGTATTAGGAAAATTAACCCCATTTTTCTGGCTCAGGGAGGAGGCACAGCGTGCCTGGGGCAATGTGCAGCCTGGCTCTGGTGGGGGAACTGCAGGAGCACTCTCAGCCTCATGGATTGCAATGGTTAAGATAATTTTTCTTTTTTACCTGGGTCAGTTTCGTTTCCAGGTTCAACTGTTATACATTCCATTTGTTTGTGTGGATCGGGACCTTTTGACCAGACTCTATAAAATATTTGTATGCTAAGTAAAGCATTTTTGTAATATCTGCTTGCTCAAATTGGTGGAGAAAAGAGGAAATTTGTAGAGATGAGAGGTGGATCCCTGTAACTTACCTACCAGCAATTCTGCAGCTGCCTTCCCCTCCTCTGATCAGCTTCAATTTTAGTTGATTATGTTTTGAGTGTTTGGAGGTTTTTTAATAGGAAAGAGTTGTAAGTTTATCTAGCATCCCCTGTTGACCCTGTGCTGTAGAACCATGGAATGGTTTGAGTGGTACAGGACTGTAAAACCTTTCTTGTTCCACCCCCTGCCATGGGCAGAGACACCTTCCACTTGACCAGGTTGGTCCGAGCCCTGTCCAACCTGGCCTTGAACACTTTTGGGGATGGGGCACCTGAAGTGTGATCCTGCTGAGAAAGGGTTCCCTGGAGCTTTGGATGCTCAGCTCTGTAGGAAGCTTTGGGACAGCAGGAGCTGCAAATAGCAGGGAAGAGAAACACTGTGGGCTGGTTCCTGTTCTGGGGATGTGCTCAGCTGAGTGAGTAGGAATTCAAAAAGCAAAGGACATAATTTTCTGGTACAGGTTTATAATGAATTTTGACTTAAAATAATAAGCAGTATACACAACATACACATGACAGTTGTACAGAGATGCTGTTGTATGGTTGACTTCAGAACCTACCAGTAAGTTCACAGGTTTCATTTGCTCTCTCAAGCCCCGTGTGTCCACCAGCATCTAGAGGTGGCCTTTGTCTCTGTGCAGTCCTTCAGAGTTCAGTTCCAGGTTACAGCTCCACTTGTTCCCTGTGCTGGGGACACAAGCCTTGTGCAGAGGTGGCTTTTGCTCAGTGGGGTTAGTGATGTGTCAGGTCTGCTCCAAGGAAACACAGGTATCATGGAACTGTCTTACGGATTCACAACACCCTTCCTCTGGCCTTGCAAAAAAGAAAAAGCAAGAATGCTTTTGCAAGAGTGGATTATTCTGAACTAGTGTTTTTCGCTGGTGAAGCTTTACTGTAACAGATTCTCTGGGGAGGTGCAGGATTCCTCAGCCATCTCGTCCCGACGGTCAGTCCTCTGAGTCTCTGTTGGTCGCACCATCCCTTTGCCAAGAGAACCTTTGCAGGTTCACAGTTTAAGCAAGGATCGCAGCCTCCTGCTAGGTCAGGGATTAGTTTTGCTGAGCACATCGAAGGGCCCACAGTACCTCCTGGGAACCGTAGTCCTTTCCTTAGTGCTTTGGAGAATTAATTAAATAAAAGCCATGCAGTTGAACTACAGCTCCCAGAACATCGTGGCCCTCAGGGCACAGGGGTTTAAAAAAAATTGCAAGGGGGGTGGCAGTGGCTTCTTCCCTCAATGCTCCCGTCTCATCAGGTCTGGTCCAACCACTCGGCCCGTTTGGGGGCCTTGCACGTGTGCACGTCCACAGTGTCCTCGCACTCCTTGCAGCGCACAGCGCAGCACCAGTGGAACTTGCACTCGCACTTGGTGACGCGGGTGACGCGCGTGGTGTCGTAGCCGCGGCCGCAGCACATCACCTCGCAGCCGTCCGTGCCGCGGGACGCCTTGCTGCACACGCGGCCCGCCGTGCCCAGGGAGCCTGCGGGGGAACGGAGCGGGTCAGGGTGTTCACATCCCTGTGTGCCAGCATTTCCCTGCCCGCCCATCCCAGGGTGCCCAGGGAGCCTGCGGGAACGGAGCGGGTCAGGGTGTTCACCTCCCTGTGTGCCAGCATTTCCCTGCCCGCCCATCCCAGGGTGCCCAGGGAGCCTGCGGGGGAACGGAGCGGGTCAGGGTGTTCACATCCCTGTGTCCCTGCACTTCCCTGCCCGCCCCGCCGTGCCCAGGGAGCCTGCGGGGGAACGGAGCGGGTCAGGGTGTTCACATCCCTGTGTCCCTGCACTTCCCTGCCCGCCCCGCCGTGCCCAGGGAGCCTGGGGTGGGAACACAGCATGCCAGGCTGCTCATCTCCCCGGGTCCCTGCTCTCATCCCAGCCTCGGGCTGTGTTCAGAGGAGCAGCTTATGTGTGGAACAGGCTCTTTGTTGGCTGCTCAAAGGAGCTTTGTGCTGCAGAAGATGGGCTCTTCTGTGATGACCAGAAGCCTGAGGGGTTTTGGACAAATGCAGTCCTGCCTGTGCAGGTGTGGGGTGCTGTGGGGACTCTTGGGTCTGGGTAACCCCCTCTCCAAAGATGGGTTGAGTGGAGGAGCTGAGCCCCCAGGCTGGGCTAGCTGGGAGATGCTGGCCTGTTGGGAAGGGAGGAAGAGATGCTTTTGGGTAATGACTCCAGGTTTTACCTGCTGACTTGTCCATCACGCAGTAATCAGGTGAGTTCTCAAAATACACCAGATCTGTTTTTGTGGGCTTCCTGAAGTTCTTGTTGGCCACGGTGAACCCAGTGCCATCCTGATTCATTGTCACCTGGATGGCCCCGTTGTATTTCTTCCTCAGGTAATCCCCTGTTTTTCGAAAATCTGACATTGCCAGCCAACAAGTCCTTAGTGTGCAGGAGCCGCTGACGCCGTGGCATTTGCACTCCAGCTTCAGGAAGCGCTTCACAGCCTGTGGGAAGAGAGATGGGTGAGGACCAGTGGTCACCCTGGGCACAGATACTGCAGCAGTGTCCACTCATTGCTGGTGCAGCTTACCAGCCCCTGGCTGTGTGGGATGGGGCTCCTGATGGGAGACAAAGGCTGTGTATGGGGATCACCAATGCCAGCAGCAGCAAGGACACAGGAGGCAAAGGTGAGCGAGGTCCTGCCATTCCCTAGGGCAAGGCAGGGCAGCATCCAGCCTTATCCACAGCAGGAGCTGCCCTCCAAAGATGCCCAAGGTCCCGTTTCTCTGGCCAAGCTGTTTTGGCTGCCCAGTCCCCTCGGGAAGGTCCCAGAGCTCTGGGCTCTGCTGCAGGGCTGCACTCACCATCCTCCCGCAGCGGTTGTTGTGCAGGTTCATCAGCGCCCGGGCATCCTTCACCTTTTTCTCCTTGGCATCCACAAAGGCCTTGGCAAAGCGGATGCCGTAGTTGATGTTGTCGCTGCAGCCGCCCCAGTCGAACTCCCCACGCTCGTCCTTGGAGCGGCCCCTCTTGAGCGGGTCACAGCTGCACACCTTGAGGTCCCCCTGGCT